AGGCCGGTGACTTCGGCTGGGGCTCCGGGCAAACTTTGAAAACCCCCATGGCCCTCTCTGCCTTCCTCCGTGGCAGGGCAGGCAGGACGGGGTTGCCTGGGGGTTATCGGGGTCTCCCGCCTACAGCGTAACTGAATTTACCACTTTCTCGGGGGGCGCACTCCGTTCCTCCAGTGGTCACCGCTTTTCTCTTCTTTCAGGAAGTTTTGCTCAAGAGGGCGGCCGACCTGGTGGAAGCCTTATACGGGATGCCCCACAACAACCAGGTAGGCGGTGGCGGAGGACACACCTCCTTCCCAGGGTGGCCGGGGCCCGTGAACAGCCAGCGGGCCTGGGCACAGCCACTGACCACAAGGCGGGAGTGGGGCAGCCTTCCCGGCGTGTCTGTGCCCTCACGCTAACTGTTCAAGCAGGAGATGGCAGGTCAGGGCCAGGGACCAGAGCAGGACTTGCCACAGGAACAGAAGCTCCTTGGCATCCACCCAGTGGGCTCGGGCTGGTGGACTGTGGGTGCTGCCGGGACTCGTAGCACAGGGCCTCTGGGGATGTGCCCCTGCTCTGCCCCGGTGTGCCCTGCGGGGGCCTTTGGGCTGCAGGTGTGGAATATAGACATGCCGTCCCAGAAGCGCCCTAAACGACCCTCCTAAGGGAATTCCTTGCCCCATTGAAAAGGCAGTTGTCAGTCTGCCCCAGGGACGGTGGCCCACCACCATCCTTTTCCCCAGGGAGGTGCGGTGGGCGGGGCGGGGGCTGGGGCTGCCCTCCCAGGGGCCTGCCGGCTTCACGCAGACCGGGCACTGGGGGGCGGCCCACCCCCCGAGCCTGGCCTCCGGTGACGGGCTCCCCTCCTGGCCAGGAGATCATCCTGAAGCGGGCGGCTGACATCGCGGAGGCGTTGTACAGCGTCCCTCGCAACCACAATCAGATCCCCACGCTGGGCAACACCCCCGCGCACACGGGCATGATGGGCGTGAACTCCTTCAGCAGCCAGCTGGCCGTGAACGTGTCCGAGACATCGCAAGCCAACGACCAAGGTAGGTGGCCGCGCAGGGCGGACCCCTTCCCGGACCCTGCTGGGGGCGGTTGAGAGTTGGCCACAGCTGGCCTGTCCCCAGTCCCGCGGGGCGTGGGCAGCGCCCGGTCCTCTGCGGCTCTGCCCACAAGCGCCATGCAGAGAACAGAGGCCCTAGGACCCCCGTAGCAGCCGTGTCAGCTTGCACTCAGGGTATGCTATTTGCTAGACGTTTCCTTGAATTTATCTGGAAGCCACTTGGCTTCCCTGAGTCTAGGGTGAGCCACAGGGTAGCTGGGATGGGTCAGTCGGCGGGGCTCTCCTCAGATATGCTGCGTGGGTGGGATTTGGTTTCTCAGTCTGTCATGATCAAGTGTAAAGAAGTGCCTGTTCCCCACCACGCCCCCATCCCAGGCCCGGGCAGTGGGGTGCAGCCCCTGCTGTCTGAGCCGGCTCTTCAGGCCCACGTCAGCCCCCTCTTACACATCCTGCAGGCAGTCGCCCCAGAGGCAGCTCAGCTGTGCTGTGTGGGGCTTCTGTGCACCCCGTGGCGGGAGGGAGCCCTTTCCCGGCCCCTCCCCACACTCACAGAAACCGCAGCTGGAAAAGTGACCCCCCACACGCAGCCTTTTATGGGGCGCCTGGCCACAGACAAGCGCTCCTCGTCAGCCACGGCATTTGAGGGTCTGCGGAGGCGCGGGTTCACCTCGTGGGGCCCGACCAGGAGTCTGAGCTGTTGGTAATTGCTTCTAGCGAGACCCGGAAGCGGCTGACGGGTAGATCGAAGCGCGCTTCAGGCCGTCCAGGCCAGCAGGGACAGGCCGGGCCTGGCGGCCACACGCGCAGCCAGGGGTCGGCGTGACGAGGCTGTCGGAGCTGCTAGGGGCGCGGGGGCACCAGCACCGCAGGAGGTCGATGAGAAATGTTTACTATATGATACAGATTTGAGGGGAAAACCCCCCCAGTGTCTCTCCCTGATAATAATGTTATTTTTGGCCGGGGGGGCGGGGGGGATTTTAACAGTCGGCTACAGTCGCAATACAAGCAGCGTGTCCCCGCGAGGCTACGTCCCCAGCAGTACTCCCCAGCAGTCCAATTACAACACAGTGAGCACTAGCATGAATGGATATGGAAGTGGCGCCATGGCCAATCTAGGGGTCCCTGGCTCGCCTGGATTTCTTAATGGCTCCTCCGCTAACTCTCCCTACGGCAGTAAGTGTCTGTTTTTGTCACACGTCATCGCACAGATTCATTTTCACTCAAAGTCAAATGTGTGCATTGCTTGGATGTTCTGTGATGTGAGCTACTGGACACGAGGAAGGGTGGCTGTGGAGGCTGGGCGCCCACCTGGCGACAGGAAATTGACCTCAATCGGGCCCCATGCGATCGCATTGGAAACCCAAACCCAAACCCAAACCCAATCGGAATGACACGGGGCCGCCCAATTGGAATCGAGTCCGACACAGCGTTTGCCTGTTGTCCAGAGAGGGGCCACGCGGAGACTGGCACACGTGCCTGGCCCCGCTGTCCCCGGCGGCCCGCGAGTCTCTGTGTCGTGTGCCGCACGGCGCCGCGCGTCCTGACCGTGTTTGCTTTGTTGCAGTAGTGCCGTCCAGCCCCACCATGGCAGCCTCTTCGGTCACCCTCCCTTCAAACTGTAGCAGTGCCCACGGCATTTTCTCATTCTCACCTGCCAATGTCATCTCTGCAGTGAAACAAAAGAGCGCCTTTGCGCCCGTGGTCCGGCCCCAAGCCTCTCCTCCTCCCTCCTGCACCAGCGCCAACGGGAACGGACTCCAAGGTGAGGGCGGTGCGCGCCTGGGGCCGGGCGGGGCGGGCTCCGGGAGCCCTGGTAGGACTGTCCCCAGGGCCTCCCGAGGGCAGGCTGGGCCGCGAGGCCAGGGTGGAGACCATGCTGGGTGTGTCCCTGGGTAGCAGGAGCTCCCACCCTTCCTTCTGCACATTCTTGGAGTCCTTGCAGCGCCCCCACCATTGCATGCTCCCTGCGGTCCCCCTCGAGGAGCCCCTACCCCAGCCCGGTCCTCAGAAATGACACCCAGATTCCTTAGCTCCCAACACAGCCTGTGTCCTCCTGGTGCAGCTCAGGGAAGGGAGCCCCCTGAGGAGGCAGGAACAGGTCTGCGTTCAGGCCCTTTCTGTGCACAGGCCTTCAGGGCCACGGCTGCCAGAGCCGGCGCAGGCCCCGCTGGGCACAGGCTCCGCCAGGCACAGGCCCCGCCGGGAGCTCTCGCGGCCACAGCCTCCTTATTCAGAGGCAGCGGCATAGCCCCAGGGCCTGGTGGAGGGTCAGCGTGCCCCCTGCAGGGCCCATCTCAGATCAGCCTGCCCTCCTGAGCCTGGACCAACAGGCCAGATCCCCTCCCGGCCGGGCCGTCCTTGCAGAGGGCAGTGGGCCTGGGCTGTGCCAGGCAGAGCTGGTTTCTAAGTGTCTCCTCCAAAGACTCAAAGAGAAGGGCTGGCCCCGAGGGCAGAGGGAGGCACCGCCCGGACACAGCTGCTCACAGCTGGGGCACGCTAAGCAGGCCCCCAGCGCCGCCTAGGGCTGGGTCCCCCGGGCAGTGGCCTGTGCTGCGCGTGGCAGGCGGGGCCACGTGGGCGCCCACTTGCCCGTGGCTCTGGGGTGCCCTGAGGCCCCAGGCACTGAGATTCAGGGCCACCCTCTGGCCTCTTTCAGACACCTTTGGTCTCTGCTCCTCCCGGTGAAATCCAATCCAGTAACTCCTTTAAACACACGAACCCCTTCCACCAGTATTTACTGAGCGCCTACTATGTGCCAGGCTCTCTGCTGGGTGCTGAGGACGTCCCCGTGGAGAAGACTAACTGGCCCTTTTGTGAAGTCGGTGGCATATTTCACTTTGATGAACTAATGCTCAAAAAAGGACCTGGAAAGGTATCAGTGATTTGAAATAATTGTCTTCACAACACCTGTCAGTGTGTGAGAGGGACGCCCAGGCCCCAGCGCTGCTCGCAAGGCCGGGGCCTTGGCCTGCCCGCCGCCCACGGGGCTGGGCCCCTTGCGAGGTGGTGTCACGTGAGCCCTGTGTACACACGCGGGGCTTCCATAAAGTTGTAACGGTGAGTCGGAGATAAATTAATATTGTTGGAATTAATGAGCTGGGAAATTGAAGCTCGCATCACTACATGAACAAATGTATTAATGTGCGATACATAAATTAATGAGAACCATTGTTCTGACAAAAATTAAACAACACGAAAGTTAAAAGATTTCAAATGACACTCGTGCCAGGAGTCCACCGGAAGGCGCCCGCTGCCCTGGGCCTTTTGGCACCGTTTCCTCTCTCCTTCCGAGAGGAGACAGGAGGACTCCCCGAGGCCGAGCTGGGACTTGCGTCTCTCCGGGGCCCTGGGCCACGCCGTGGCTTTGATGTTGGGGGCCCACGACTCACCATTACGATACCCAGCAATCAGCAGAGGGGAGCCTGAGGCGTGTCCCGGCTTCACCTAGGGAGAGAGAGCAGGTTGGTCCATTCTGTCTGCAGAGGTGGCCTCTGGGGATTCCGGGCCTCCGTCCGCTACACACAAGCCACTGCAGTGTGTCTAGCACAGCCTTCCCCCCCGGAAAGGCCGGAGACCCCCCCCTTCCACAGGAGCGCTTGAGCAGGGTCTGTCCCCATGTGCACCCCATCCCCTGAAGTAGGTCCCCCCAGGCCTTAACCGAGCCCAAGGCTGGTTAATGGAGAGTTATGCAGACCCGAGGACACGGAGGAATAAAGCAGAGAGGAGGCCGGCCCCGCCCGCCCGCCCCGCCCCCCGTAACCCTCTCCTCCCTCTCTTGCAGCTATGTCTGGGCTGGTAGTCCCGCCGATGTGAGAGACCTCTGTTTACCTTCCGCAGCACCCAGCATCCCGGGACGGACTTCAGGGGACACGTTGAGTGTATTGAGACATGCTGGTGGAGACCGTATCTTCAAATACGTCAGCAGCAGTCGAAATGCTACGAAAGACGTTGTTTAAAGATTTTATTTAAACTGTTAAGAGCCGACATGCAAACAGCCTACTTCTTCATGAACGATTCCATTTTACTGACTGAACTTTTCTCACATTTTCACATGTCTCGGTCCCGAAGAACAAGGAGAACAAAGCGACACCTATTTTGTATAGAGTTTCCGACTCCGTCTTGGCTGTGTCTAGTACTTGCTATGTGTTGGGAGAAACTTTGTGAATGCACCATTTTGATGCTCATGAAACACTGAGGAAAAATGCCTGCGGACATTTTTCTGTCCTCATCCTTAGAGTCACAATGGTTGTGTATCTCTATAATGTGAAATATTTTTTTGTGGTGAACCAAGGGGGCCAAGGAGGTGTGAGCCATCGACCTGGAAGAGAGGATGACTATATGATTCGAATTGGGGGTGGCAGGGAGGGAGGGAGGGCTTACCATTGCTTACCTTCATCTTAATGAAATGAAACTTTGTAACTTATTGTAGTTAGAAATTGTAACTTTGATATTGAATTCTCTTGCCTTCAACAAGCACACTGACAGAGAAAAAAAAATGCTACTGTCTGTTGGTTAAACTATTCTCCCACTGCTAGAGCTTCCTGTTAAGCAAGCGTGATCTGCGACATTTTTCCACTTTTGCTAGTACTGTATACGATTGCATTCTTAGGCTACTGTGAGGTCCATGTTTCTTGTACCAGAAATTGTCCTTTTGACTTCTAGATCCTTCTCCCCTGATGTGTTTTGTATGTGGTTATAAAATTGTAGACTTTTGTGATTTTGCCAAAGTTGTAGCTAAATATTTATACACTTGTCTTGAATTTTTTTCAGATCCACTTAACTATTTAGAGAGGAAAAAAACAACCACCACAAAACCCACCAAGTTTTATTCCTTATGTGTCCTATAAGGAATAAAATGGTCTCATTCAACACTTTTCCATGAACACTTACAGTTGCTAAGGGACTTTCTTTTGTAACATATCAATTATAAATATTGTATTTATCGTTGAGATTTTGTACATTGCTTTCCCCGCCATCGTTTTTCCTTTTTCTCGTCCGCGTTGGTTCTGGGTCACGGCCCAGTGTTTGCGACGCCGGGGAGAGCGTTAAGCCAAGACTGTCTCTCGCGTCTGTTTCGTGAAAGTGCATCCGTGTCCTTGCGTTTCATTTGTACTTAAAAAGTAATTTGCTATTATTTAGACTTTCCATCCTTTTTTTTTATTTTGAGGAAAAGTCAAATTCATTGTTTATTTTTATATTATTTTTAAGTTATCTGAACAAATACTTTTGAAAACAAAAAAAAAGTTTGTTGTATAGTCAAAACAAAACGGTGCCACCGGCTGTGACAAGTCCTAGTAGAGTCTGTGCATGTGGAACGGCCGTGCAGAGGGGACACCGTTTGGGGCTGTGTCCTTATTTTATTATTATTTTTTTTTGGTAGAATGTAAAAAGTCATTTTAGCTGCCACCCATGACTTTTGCCACATAGCTGAACTGTGTTTACTGGAAAAATTCAGAGGCCTAAAGTTTAAAATAAAATTTACTTCTGATGTTTTAATTAAAAATGTCTGCCACATGAACTTCTCTGATGCCTTAAAAGTGGACTTCTTTAAAGATCCTTTGTGCGATTTCATCGCAGGCGTACACCACAACTGTTAATCCGATCTCATTTGGAAACGTACGGTGTTAACACACACACACACTCAAGCACAAACCTGGGGCCTGCCGGCTCCCTCGCTGCATCCGATCCTGCCGCCTCCTGCCGCCTCCCACGCTCTCCTCGGGTCCGGGAGGTTTCGGGGGGAGGCACGACGCCCCGTGTTCCTTTGGAACGATGTTCCCGGTGTGGTCAGGCCCGGCAGCACTGTCTGTACTTTTTAAACTGGAATGACCTTCCCATCCCGCGCCTGTGCGTGCCAAACCCGCGGCGAGACCCCCAGGGTCCGCGCTTTCTCCCCTTTGCGTTCAGCATCCGCAGGCGGAACAGCAGACGTTTTGCCAACTGCAGCAGGAATCAAATTTAAAACAGAAAGGAGGGGCTTTTAAAAAACTTTACGACAAAAAGTAAAACAATGCACAGCTTAGAAAAGTGTTCGTTCAAGGGACTAAGTAAACAGACAGAAAGTCCCCAGCCGTCGGCGGGTCCCACGTGGGCCCCCTGACGGCTGACAAGGCTTAGCTACGCGGAGAAGCCCAAGAAGTGACTCTGGAAATAAATCGCCTCCGTTTTCTTTGGTTTCGGTCAGGGTTTGATCTAAACACGAGCTCCCGCACGCCCGTCGGGGCATCTGCCAGGGCCCTCACCCCCGCTCGGTGTGTGTTTTAGGTTCATTAGCCAACAACGCCCTCATCGCTTTACCGTCTCAAATCTGAGCGCTTCACCCGATGGTAGATGTTACTGTTAGAGACCCTACAATGAAATTGTTTTATCTGTACATTTTTTCAGATATTTAACTGTATAAAAATGTTCATTTTACACAATATTTAATTAAAGTATTTCTTGTCTGTGAATTTCACTTTGGGTAATTTTATGTTTTGGTTATTGAGACGCCCACCTGGATGCACACGCGCGAGGGACCCTGGGGGTGTCCTTTGCGTTCCTGGGGTTCCAGAGCGTTGTCTCGGCCGACACGGAGGGTTCGTGGGAGAACCTGCTACAAAGCGATCCCGCCTGCGGAGAGAGATTGTGAGTTACTCAGATGGTCTGGTCCCACCTGTGTGTTTCACGCAGACGTCTGCGGGTGACGGTCAGACTCGGGCCAGGGGCACTGAGGGACACGCACCGTCACCAGGCTCACGGGGGCGTGGTCACCGCTCACCAGCCCTGCTGCTTCTGAACCGCAGGGTTTGGCCGGCAGAGCAAATGCTCCTTGCGTCCCCATCACGTGCTCCACTGGGCAAGGATCAGCTTTAGGGTGGGGGTGGGGCGCAGGGCGGGCGGACAGCAGGGCGCCAGATACAGCCGCCAGCCGAGGTCTGACCTGAGGTCTGACGTGAGGGTATGGTGCCCCCGCCGACTCCAGGCCATGACAGGCCCCGGCCACTGTCCTGGCCGCTGTGGGCTGCACGTGGGTGTAGCCAAAGGTGCCGACGGTAACAAGAGCTGCCGAGGTCCTAATTGACACGCCGATTTCAGCTCCGGCGAGTTCTCCACACCCCGTTCCATTTTATTCTGCGTTTGTCATCTCCTCCTCAATGAGAGGCGGTTTTGCATGTTTTGGCTCGCAGCTCTCACACATACACATACGTGTGATCCAAATTAGTGCTCACAAATGTCCCCTTAATTACTTGTTCTGCTGAGCAAAACAGGAAACAATTACTCAAAACATAAAGAAACTTGTGCCTCCCTCCTCCTCCTGCCGGTGCCAGTCGGTTCCTTTGACGGCATTTGTTTCAGCCTTAAAGAGGCAGCAAGGAAAGGGGCTCCAGGTACAAAGCTGCTGCCTGCCCACTCCCCTCCCCCAGGCTCCGTCCCAAGATGCGAGGAGGGGAGGGGGCTGGGGACGCAGTTCACCTGCCTCCCTGCTCTCGGGCAGGAGCCCAGCCTGGGATGGGGGCCAGGGCCCTGCGTCCTTCCTGGGGAGATAGAAGCCACTGTATGTTTGTGTTTCGAATCAGAAGCGAGAAGTGCCCTCGCTTAGAGCGGGTGCCAATTATTGTCAGGCCGCCTTTTAAGGTCTTTCAAGCTCTTAAAGATTATTCAAAGCACTCGAAATGGGCTTCAATCTAATGCCTCATTTCATTGCATTAAACAGCCCAGTTAATAAAGAATCGATATATTCAAAGGGCAAGGTTATCTTTTGTCTATAAGGGGTGGTGTCATTCTGCACCTTTTATAGTTCAAATGCTGAAAAAGACCTCATGAAATCCATACCCATCAGGCAGGTCACCGGGAGCAGCGGGGCGGCTGCGGGGAGAGGCGCCCCCCGGAAACCACTCCAGCCTTATCGCCGCGCCCTGCGCGCCAACGAGGCTGCGGAAAATGTCAATTTCTCATCAAGACAAGAGGCTGCGCTGATCGGCCTTTGCAGAGAATACACACAATTAGGAGAAGGCAGCCGGGCGGCGGGCAGCCGTTTGGAGCACCCTCCTCCCCTCACCGAGAGCCCCCTCCCCACAGATGATAACAAGAGTTGTTGATAACTGAAGTGTCAATACGCCCAAGAGCGGCTTCTGAATGCGCGTCCTTGTGCTGGGCGCTCCCGCCGATGCCGGCCGATAAGGGCGCAGCTGCGGGCGGACACGGGGCTGGCCCTCACAATTAACGCCATGAATAAATCACACAAAGGGTCCGCTGCTTTAGACGCCGTGAGACAATCCCCCGCTTTACCCTTCAAGGGCTCCTTTTATGTGGGAATAAGGTTGCTTTTAATGAAATTTAAACTCATCAGAGGAAATCAAAAACCTCCAATCAGATTACAAATTGATTTTCTGGTCGTTTGTCATTTCCCAGTGTGGGGCCGCAGGTTTCCCAGGGAGTGGCGTGCGCGCAGCCCCGGCCGGGCCGGGGACAGACGGGGCCGCTCCTGACCCTGCATGCTCAGACCGGCTCTGACTCTGCCCCCCTCCCGGGTGGTTCTGCAAAAGTGAACCCACGACCGGAGTGGGTGCCATTCAGCTCCGAGTCCGGCCGAGGCCCCACCTGGGGACACCGCCGTCCTTGGCGGAACTGGCTGACGTCCAGGCGCAGCCAGGCCCACTGACAGCCGGCGGGCGCTCCGTCCCGGGGCTGGAGTAAGTCGGGGTTTGTGCCCACGCCCTGAGTCTGCTCTGTGCCACACCCACAGAGCCACCGAAGCCGCACAGAGCCAGACGGAGCGCCAAGGGGTGCCACGGAGCCACACAGCCACGCAGCCACACACTGGGCGCTCATGGTCGGGGGCAGTGAGGAAGCAGGGCCAATTCCTACTCAGCCATTCAGTCTCAGCCCAGGTGCTCGTCCCTTTGCAAGGCCTGCCCTGCCTGCGGGGAGGTCCCGGGACCTGCCGTGTGCACCCCCCAAACCCGGGGAGCATCTAAGGCCACCAGCCTCCCAGGGTCCTGCCCACGCACCTGACGGGCTGGGGCTTCCTCCCCATCCGCCCCTACGTCGGAGGCACTGGCCCAGCTGAAGGGTCCTGCCCACGCACCTGGCTGGCGTGGAAGGGTGCTCTGTTCCTCCTGGGAAGACGGGGCTGGGGACAGAAGCGAACATCATTTCTGACTCCAGGTTGCCGAGACCACCTTGTATGAAACCATCTCTAAAGCGAGGCCAGTCTCCCACGTTTACGTGCAGCCAATAAGCACCGTCCTCGCCCGCCCGCAGTCCCGGCTGGTGGCGAGCAGGACATCAGTCCCGTCCTCCCATCTGTCCTCCCCGGAGGAGTGCCACACAGAGCTGAGCTGGGTCCCCCTCTCTCAGGTGACAAAACTGCAGCTCAGAGAGGGGGATGACCAGCCAAGGTCAGAGGGCTGGAAGGACCAGGCCGGTGCCAAGTGAAGTGTCCAGTCTGCACCCCCCGGGCCCGTGCGCTGATGCAGGCCTCAGAGACCTTCGGGAATTCAAGAGACAGACCATTGGGATGGAGCCAGAACCACGCTCCCTGGGCTCCCAGCCAAGCTCAGGAGGACACACGCCGCCCCCGGCTCAGGGGGCCCGGCCACCTGGACAGGTTGTGATGGAAACTGGCTTGTCCAGCAATGTTAGCTGCGGCCCAGGGGCCTCTCTTCAGGACACAGCAAGGCCACAGGCTCACTGCCCAGGGCCTCCCCACCACACCAGGGGACCGCCAAGGAGCCGCCCCCCACTCTCCCACCAGCGTCCTGGGTCACACGTGGTCCGCACCGAGAGCCCATGGACACTAGGTGCCCCTTGGGTCTAGCAGCGTGTGGGGCGCAGGCAGGGGCAACAGGCTGAGGGGAGGAGCTGTGCGCATGGGGTAGGGACAGCAAGCGTGCAGGCCAGGACTGAGGCAGCACACAGGGCGGGGCTGCGAGGGCGGAGCCGGCCAGGGCTCAGGAAAGCGTCTGCTAATGCCTGACCGTGGGGACAGGGTGCGGACAGAGGAAAGAGAGCAACGAGGACTGAGTCAGAAGAGGCCACAAGGAAGTCAGAGAGACCAAGGGTCAGGAGGGGGCGCGGGGGTCCCACCTGCTGACCGGTCAGACCACTCCTGCCACTGCACTGATGGGGGCCATGCACAGCTCACTCCCCTGACGGCGGTGTGGTCGTTAGCCAAGACCAGACCTGGTGTTTCTGCCTACGAGACACCAAGCTCTTCGCCGCCTCCCCGTGCCACTGCTGGGGGGCCAAAGCCGGGCTGGCGCCCCGAGAAAGAGAATCTGCAACAATGACAACCAAGGGCCCACACTCCCAATATACAATGAGCTTTTGCAAATCAATAAAGCAGGACAGGCATCCTGAAGGAAGAGGGGCAAATTCACAGTCAACATGCAGGGCCAAGCGACCCAGAAGCTCAGGAGACTACACGGGAGCTCACCTGAAATGCTCTCAGATGAAAACAATGAGCTGGAGTTTATTTCCCTTATTTAATTAGAAAAGACTTTCCTTAAAAACTCGCATCAGTCCTGCCGGTGGAGAAAAGGGCCTTCTCCCAGTTGTCCACAGAAGTTGTAAGTGGCACAGCCCTTCCAGGAACCGGTTTGGCGTGGTTATATCCAGAGACTTACCTGTGTCCGTACCCACCCACCACATCCACTTCGGGAATCGGTCCCAAGGAAATGATCGGAGCCTGGACAAGACTGTGAGAACAAGACTGTCGCTGCTGTGCGTTTACCCGAAACACCGAAAAGAACCCAAATGTCCAAAACCAGGAATAACTAATCGAATGATTTCAATGGAGTACTACCTGTTCCACTGAGACCTAAATGTTATCGAGTTATAACTACAAAACTCTTAACCCGTCTTTATGACTTCACGCTGTGACACATATTGGCAACTGGGTGTGAAATGATGGACGCGCCGCACGACTTACATGTGACACCGAAAGCAGGGGCCACAAAGGGAAAACGAGCTGGACGTCATGGGAATCACAGACATCTCTGCTCCCACAGACACTCAGGAAGTGACAGACAACCCGCAGGACGGGAGACACCTCCGGAAAAGCATCTATCGATCGGATACAGATCTGTGTCTGGACCACACAGAGAACACGTATGGGTAATAAAAAGACAAATGACTCAACTTAAAAACGGGAAAACGATCGGAATAGACAGTTCTTCAAAGAAGACATATCGATGGCCCACAAGCACATGAAAAGATGCCCCACATCATTGGTCATCGGGGAAAGGCAGTCAAAGCCACCGTGAGCTAGTGCGTCCCACCCACCGGTGTGGCTGTGATGAAAACGCCAGACGATACCACGTGTGGGCGAGGCTGTGGGGAGAGCAGACCCTGTAGGCAGGGCTGGGGGGATGTGGCTGCGAACGCCAACCGCGGGGCTCCGCGCTCTGCAATTATTTTCTGTCCGAAGGCATCGCTTCTTGGCATGTGGGGCAGACCCTGCGCCACG